AAATTTAAATCATATAATTGCCTAATTCAGTGGTTAAAAAGTAAGAGAAAATACAGTAGGATAGGTAATTAAAATTTCTCAGATTCAAAATTTTATAGGTTCATAGATGTAGCTAAGCACAAATCTTATTTTTGAATTACTTTTACAGACTTCTAGTTGGAAAAATATTAAAAAAGGAATATAAAAATAACCTGTAAAGATTACATATTAGCTGTGATAGACTTTTTATAAAATCTGTAATGAAATCTTAATTTTTTTTTCTTATTGAATAAATCTTTAATGGTTTTTCTACATCTATACAGTTCTAGATAATAATAGATAAAGTTGATAATTTAAAAATATAAAGAATAGATTTATTATTGGTCCTGATCTGGCAGATGTAGCCATAATTTCTATGCTAAGTTTCTTTTCTCACACTTCTCGCTTGTAGAACTCCCTTTCGGCTCCATGCTTTTCAGCCAACTTTAATCTGCAAAAATTTAAATGCATTGTCAATTGCTATCTGCTGTTATCCTGATTACTCTTTCCTCTTCCTGTTCATTATTAATGTTTCTGTTCCTAATTCTTCCACACCCTGTAAACCCATGCATCTTAGTGATTTACTGCCTTGCATGGGGTTATACCAATATATATATATATATATATATATATATATATATATATATATATATATATATATATGAAAAAGCAAGAAGTTTTTTTTTTCTAAATATTGATTATTTACCATTACTTTGATTTCCATGCTTATTCCTATAATTCATATGTGTTTATTTAATTATAGAGCTCTGTTTAATAGAAATAGTATTTTTCGTTTCAGGGATTTGTCTTTTAAGAAAGGAGAAATTATTACTGTTTGTAGGCAGATTGATCAAAATTGGTATTATGGGGAACTCAATGGACAAGATGGCTATTTTCCATCAAGCTATGTCCAAGTAAGTCATATTTTTCTCATAATTTGCTATATGTCCTTTAACTTCTTTTTATTATATTTATTTAACCCCCCCCCCCAAAAAAAACTGCTTTATACTCTGATGATTGGATTACTCCTACCAGATGAACAACAATATTGAATAATATATACAAGTTTTATTAAAAACTACTGACAAGATACTGTGATCAAGCTTTTTATTCAATTTTTCATGCATTAATACATGTATTTTATTTTTTGGACATAAAGTTGCTCAAATGATTATATATATATATATATATATATATATATAATTTTTTTAATATTAAAAATATTTTACATAGTGACGCAGAAATTTCTGTTTCGAGACTTAGTTTTTATTTTGTCATTTGGTAACTTTGAAAATGATGAGTGCATTTTGGCTATTCTGTTAGCCATTATCAAAGATGTCTTTCTTTTTTTTTTTTTTTTTTTTTTTTTTAAATTTTCAACTGAATATTTTGATATGGGTAGATATGGGAATGTTTTTTTTTTTTTTTTTATTTTCCAAACATGGCCAGCATTAAGATTGGCTTATTTCATTGTTATTTTACTTTTAGTTTACAAATCCATGATCCTTAAAAACTGTTATTTAATATTTCTTTATTTTTTAACTATATGAAATCCTTTTTTTGTTTTATTTAAATTTACAAACGATGGTTTATATATCAGTATATCTTTCACTTTTATGTTTTGATATTAAAAAAAAAAATATTTTTTCTTTTAATTTTTTATTTACTTATTTTTACAATTTTCAGGTTGTCAGCAATTTCTCTTCTTCAGTGCCACAGGTGAAAGCCTTATATGATTTTGATATTAAAGATGAAAATGAGAAAGATTGTTTAAAATTTCAGAAGGTAATACTAAAAACTTATAATTTCTACTAAGAATGTTTCCATATTAGAATATATAAAATATCATTTAATTATGTATAAATTTTTTATTTTATTAGATTCACTGTAATTAATTTGTGTATCTGACACGGAGAACGTAGTAATGCCTTGGAACTGTGCATCTGACACGGAGAACGTAGTAATGCCTTGGAACTGTGCATCTGACACGGAGAAACGAAGTAATGCCTTTGAACTGTGCATCTGACACGGAGAACGTAGTAATGCCTTGAACTGTGCATCTGACACGGAGAACGAGTAATGCCTTGGAACTGTGCATCTGGCACGGAGAACGTAGTAATGCCTTGGAACTGTGCATCTGGCACGGAGAACGTAGTAATGCCTTGGAACTGTGCATCTGGCACGGAGAACGTAGTAATGCCTTGGAACTGTGCATCTGGCACGGAGAACGTAGTAATGCCTTGGAACTGTGCATCTGACACGGAGAACGTAGTAATGCCATGGAATTTTCTCATATTGATAAATCACTACAAAAATTCCTGGTTAGGATTTTATTTTTAGTAAATGTTATTCAAAGAATTATATTGAAAGATACGTTAAACAAATTATTTTCATTTTTGGAAAGAAAAGTGTATAAGACTAATTTTATTGCTAAAACGTAAGTGTAAAATTCTAATAATTAAGAAGTAAATTCTTTTTTTCTTTTCCTAGGATGAAATTCTTCAACTGATTAGAAAAGTGGATGACAACTGGTTGGAAGGAAGAAGGGGCGACAAAATAGGCATCTTCCCATTATCGTTTGTTGAGGTTATTTTTATATAAAAATATTTTTTCTTTACAGTCATGTCCCCTCAGGATATAGGTGGTCATGTTTTCTTTATTAATGTGAATTATGTCTTCCTCTTGCTATTCCCTGGTTTTTAATATAAGGTAGTCTTTCCTTAAACTGGGTGCTCCCTTAGGCAAGATAGCCGAGTTTATGTATTTATTTATTTTTCAAACAGATTAAATAATCTTTTATATCCTTTTTGTTAAGGTTATTTTTCTTAATCTGAATCTTAACATATTTACTGCCACAGTACACATAATATCTATTTATCTTGTGACATTATTTACATTATTCCGACTATTGTCCTCATCTTTGTCGCCATATTTATCACAACATTTCGGCCGTTGTATGCTCTGGCCTTCTTCAGGTGGTTGGAATTTTGAACTGAACCCTTTATTTCACTCACTGGGGTAGACTGTTCTAGTTCCACGTGCCATGTTTGATGGATGTCAGTTATCAGTTATCTCCTGCTAATTTCCCTCTGAAAGTTCTCCACTGCCTTAACTGGGTATTGAACTCGCTCTCTTTGGGTCCTGTCACTGGATCTAACCAACGCCTTTATCCACTGAGGACAATATGGCGATAAAGATGAGGACAATAGTCTGAATAATGTAAATAATGTACATAATACCTCATCTCAGAAATATAGACAGAATCTTGTGACATGTTGAATATTTTTTGGCACATATGCATTTATTCCATAGTTTCATTTTTCTATAAGTCTGTATGTATTTTGTCTTTCTCTAAATAGCAAAAGGCCCATTTTATTTTTCTTACTTAAATTTATAGAGCTGTACTTATTTAAAAAAAATTTTCTCATACACAAAAAGTTTGTAAACAGAAGAAAATATTACTAAGTCACATTAGTATCATTCTTTATAGTTATAATTTTTATTTTATTTTAAAAATCACAAGTACTCTTGCATAGGTATTTCTTTTGGTAACTAACAAAAACATCTTGGGGTTCAAAATACCCAAAATAGTGAGTGTGTTAAAAATATTTCGGTTAAAATGTTAGTTCTTCAAATTATTCTTTAAATTTTTCTGAAGTGAAATTGATAATGTAGATTTTAGACTAATTCTGATTAAAATAAACATAACTTTGCAGCAAAGTGTAAATCATTATAAACAGTTCTTCTCTTAATACATCTGATTTTACATATGGACATTAAACATCTTAGAGTGAAGTTTTCCTTCATCTTATTTTATTGTAACATGTTCTTTGATCATTAAAGCAAATAGCTTTCCAATTCAAACTGCTTGTTGCTTGAATACTCAAAGAGAATTAGCATAGAATTGTGTTAAAAAGCAATAATAAAATGAAAAATCTAGTTCCAAAGTTAATTCTTAAAAAAAAATGTACTAAAAATAATTAGATATTGTTATTTACAACAACAATGTGGTATAAATAATTGAATGAAGGAGTACTTAAATGGTATATTTGTTGATTTCATTTAACTTTTAAGGTATAGACTGGCATTGGGCTAAAAAAAATAAAAACAAAAGATAAAACCTTTTCTGATAAACTGAAGCTGTTTGAAAGGTTTTGATTTTTAAATACTCACTTATCTTTAAAAGGTAAAATAAAAAAAAAAAAATGAAGATACATATCTTGTATGTTTTTAACACACTTTGTAATATATAACAAAAATTAAATGTTCTATTTATTTTTCACAACTTGGCATTGTAGAATTGCTATCCACTTGTTTTCAGTGTGGGGTAATGATGGAATTATTAAAGCTCTTGTTGTGCCAGTGCCATATCTATCAGGAAAGATAAATTGAAAATTTAATTTTATTTGTTGCTATTAATCTTTTTGATATTGGGCCTTTTAATTATAAAGACTATTTTCCTTAAGTGTTATCCTTTAGAAATGTTAGCCTTATTTATTTTATAAAAATATACACACACACACATATATATATATATATATATATATATATATATATATATATATATATATATAAAATATTGAATTATGATTTCTTTTTTTTTAATTGACTTTCTTTTCATGTTACAGCTAAATGATGCAGCAAAATCATTGGTTGCTTCCAGGTCAAGGTAAGATTAACATGTTTAAAATTTTAAATGTAAAAAAAATTGTTGACCCATTGAGAATACTGTTATTTTAAGCCTTTTATTTTACGGGTTTACCCTAAAAGTAAATGTCCCTATGAAACCTTTTAAAGCTGAAATAGTGTAAAATGAGGGAGTAGTTATCATTTATTCAAAATGGGAAAATTTTCTTGTAATCCCAGTTCACAAAAATAACCTTGAATAAAATTTTTCAATATATTTAACATTAGACTGCAAGAAATAGTATAAACTTAATTGTTCTTATCAACCTGAAAGAAAAATGATTGGAAACTTCCAGTGAGCCTACAAAGCAGTTTGTGAAGAAGGAACGTGAGACCAAAAGAAAAAAAGGCCACCAGTCAAAATGAACCTTCAAAATGAGTTGGTAAAATATTGAAGTTGGAAGCAGAGTTAAGATGAGTTACAGATGTAATTGCAAAAATAGTTTCTGAAACAACTTTTTTTTTTTTTTTTTTTTTTTTTTAGTTGGTTGTAAACTTTATTTACCTCTGTTTTGTTAATTCAATGAGGTTATAGCTGCATTTCTTTTTTCTGAGTTAGGATATAAGTGATAAGTTCTGAACATAGCTCTATTTCTAGAGCTATGTTCAGAACTATGTTTACTTGAGGAATAATTTGTTTTCTCAAATTGAAAACAACTTTCAAGAGAATTACATAATTTTTATGGTAAATATTATCTACACTGTTTACATCATTCAGACTGTTGTCCTCATCTTTATTGCCATGTTCACAACATTTCTGCCCTTGTATGCCCTGGTCTTCAGGTGATACACATTGGAATTTTGACCTGGACCCTTTTAGTTTGTGGGAGTAAATTGTCCACATGCCATGCCTTTTCTGTATATATCAATTACAGTTAATTCCCTTTAGTAACTCAATTCTCCAAATTTTTGTTCACTTCTGCTGTGGCCAGGTATTGAACTCACAACTCTTTGGGTCAAGTCACTTTTTGGATTACTTCAACCATTGCTCTTATCCACTGCGTATATTATCTGTTAAGTTCTATTCTGAGGAGATTCAAATGTCCATTATTGAAAACTGTGAATCTCCACTTACAACTACCTTTTTGGTAACCTGACTTATATATAATTCTGTCTTTAAAAATGTTAGAAAGTCTGATAGCTACTGAAGCTATTTTTATAACCTTATTTTTTTTTTTTTTTTTTTTTATTTCTTTTCTTTCATTATGACTATTTCCAAAGGTTTTCCAAAAACAAATTTTCTAAATTTTAAGCTAACATGTTCAATAATCATTTAACATTATATTTTTTGCTGATTAGAGAAATTAAAAAATACAAGTAAAGCTAACCTCAAATTTGAAATGTAGTTAGTTTTGCTAATCACAGAGTAGTCTTCTCTTATTCATTTGCAAATAATTAAATTCTATAAATAGGAAAAGACTTTACATTAAGTTTAATAGTCACCTTTGAGTATTAATTATTTTTTCTTTTATAAACAGGTCATCATCATCATCTTCAGTGGGTGTCTGTGATGGAGGTCCCAGTGGAACAAGTAGTGGCAGAAGTTCTGCACCTGCCCCAGGGTCACGTTTACCCAGTTCATCATTCCAGCAGATATGGCACCATCTTCCGCAACAGAGGGAGAGGGTTGCCCTTCATCCACCCACGCCAAACACAGCAGCCAATGCAGCTGCATCCCTTCCACCTCCCCCTTTAAATGCTCCAATGGCAGCTATGGCTTCTACAAGCGCCCAACAAAAACGACATTCTTTCACTGCCACCTCGCATACTCATTCTGCCAATTCATCACCAACCATACAGCAGAGACGATCCTTAGAGTTATCACCAACCTCTGGAGCTATGCCACCTACATCCCCACTCCATGTTGCCCTACCCCCACCACCAGCACCTGCTTGCAGTGGAAATGTTGGATCTGCATCTGCTATGAAATTGCTGGCACATCTGGTGAGCGTTACAGATTGTAAAAATCTTTCTTGTACACACACACACACACACACACACACACACACACACACTGCGATGAGTAAATTGTCGCCATTTTATATTTTTAATTTTGCACATACATGGTGTTTGTTCTTGATTTTGTTGAGTGAACAGTATGGTAGTGTCAGCTGGGCGCTGTCTGTGAGAAAAAGAACATTATGATGCAATTCACTCTGCCAGAAATTTGGAAACAGCATGCTGTACTATTTGGCATTCACACTGGAAGCTCCAATACAAACATTTCAGGGTTTGGGTGTTAATCTGTGGATAGTGCAGAGGATTCAGAAAGAGTTGGATGAGTCTAATGTGATTACAAAGGTACCTCAACTTAGACTGATCACTCTGCTAAGAACATAACTCCCAAATTTGTTGGTGAGGGCATCAGACTCCACACAGAGGCTTACCTCAAGTACCTTGAGGAGGTAGAACTGTCCTGGGTCTAGAGGTTGGTTGCTGGATGATCCTCTGTCTAGCAACAGAACTCTGTGCCAGACCATCAACCAGGAGAACCCAGTTGTGGCTGTCAGACAATTTCTTTGACCACATCTGGCCACCTAACTCCCTAGGCTGCAGCTCCCTTGATTATTATGTGTGGGCTGCAGTTGGCCAAGAGCCCAACAAAGCTCCTTGTAATACCAAAGATAAACTGAAGGCACGGATCATGGCAACATGCACCAACTTTAATAAGGAAACCAGTTGCAGAAGATTCCCAAATTGTCTGGAGGCTGCGCTTGAGGCCAATGGGTTTTTTTTTTTTTTTTTTTTTTTTTTTTTTAGATAATTTTGTAAATATATCTGTTAGAATGAAATGTCAATATTATCCATCACACTTTCTGTATGTGTGTGCATATATATATATATATATATATATATATATATATATATATATATATATGCACACACACACACATATATTATACAGCAAAAAATCCAAAATTAACTCCTATGGGTATCATCTATTTCAGACTAGCACTGCTATATGCTAATCTATATCATTCCTAGCATGTCTTGAGACATTGTATGTAATCCAGGTGGATCCATCGTCCCTAGCATGTCTCGAGACAGTTTAGGGATGATGGGTCCACCTGAATTACATACCAATGGATCTATTGTCTGTGTGTGTGTCTGTATGTGTATATAAAATAAAATGTGCACACCATGAAATTAATATTAAAGACATTGGTTGTGAGGAAGTCTACAAACTTTAAAATTGATAAGATTAGAAAACTAATACATAGAGAATTTAAATGCCTAAATTTGAAAGTTACTGTTAATACAAAATTTAAAAAAGGTAAACTTTCTTGATATAACATTAGACTTAATAATATATACCAACCTTATAAAAAAACCTAATATACACCCGAAGTTAAATCCCCCCCCATCTATAATAAAGCATATACTATCATCTATTAAAAAAAGAATAAGTATAAATTCTGCTAATGAAAAAACATTCTATGAACATGGTAAAGCTAAAGAATAGTGGTTATAAATGCCCTGACATTAATTATATAAAAAATGATAATAAAAACGAGAGAAGAAATAGAAATAAAAAAAATAATTTTGATACACACCGCCATTCAACAAAATGGTTATTAATGGTAACTTAGGACATATTTCTTGCTTTTAATTGATAAACATTTTTCTATGAATAATATACTAAGCAAAATAAAATAGTATATAAATGCATAATTAAATTCTAATATTTTAATTTTACAATACCATATATAGTTTATTAGTAAATATAATAAATATATTATTTTAGATCTTTATAAATAATGACTTAATCATATTTGACAATCCCTTTAAGAAAATCTCAATGTAGTTTAAAAAATAAGAAAATAAATAAAAATGCCAATTGTATTATAGCATAACCCAAAAAAGCACAGTGTGATGGCACATTTGCATAAAAGGAAGTCAGTATCAACAGACAGAAATTTCAACCCCCCACCTAACCCTAACTAATTTTCACTTTGCCACATAAAAATATACTTTTATCTTGATTTGTTAGAAAAAGCCAACACCCTCTTAATAAAAAAATTTGAATTATCATTCCCCTACCAACTTAAAATATATAATACTATTTGGCTTATAGAGTAAATCAATTTTTTTTCAAATGTTATTCTGCATTGCTTGAAAATGGAATTGAACATTAAATTTTAAGTTTAATTTAAGATTTAGGTTTTGGTTTTGAAACATGGTAATTTCTGTCATGATGAATACCTATTTTAAAAAAATAATTATAATATATATATGTTGGGCTCTGCAATCATGAATGATAAATGAGGGTCAGCAATGGATGCTTTTCGTTTTACACCTATGCATGCTATTGTGAAGAAAATCCGATAAGGGGAGCACATATTTCATTTGTGCTTTCTTAAGTTTGATATTAGCCCAGCCTTGCTGTGGGTGACAAATCCACACTGACAGATGAAATTTGTTAAAGCAGAATTTTGATGGCATCTCTGCTTCAGAGCTTGACAAAACTGATCCCGGTGCTTCAGTCTACTGTATTCAAAACCCTTTAACTTAATGAAACATGTCACTCCTTTTGGTTTGATGCTTGGGCTTCAAAGGTTTTCAGATCAAAATTGAGTTGTTTCAAGTTGTCTTTCAATTTGTCTTTGTAGCGTAAGAGTGGACGTCCAACTGAACACTTGGAGTTTGGTTGTTGTCCATACTGCACCTTTTTATCTTGTTGTATCTTTGCTAGAATGGGTTCAGTGATGTTATGTTTCTTCAGTATTGCACTATTCTTGACCCTGATATCCCATTTTATGTCACATATGGTATGAAGACAGCACATGTGAAAGGTATCAAGTTGATGTGCTTACAGTATAGGGTTCAAGTTTCAGCACCATAGAGAAGGGTTGAGAGAATGAATGATCTCTATATGTTGATCTTTACTTTGTGACACGTCTTTGGTGTTCCATAACCTATGTTTAAGATTATTGAATGCCGTGCTGGCTTTGGCTATTCTGGATTGGGTTTCTCTGTCCACTTTTCCATCAGAAGTGACTGATGATCCAAGATATGTGAACACCTCAAGAGTTTTTAATGCTGTACCATCAATGAATATGGAAGGATTTGTAAGAGATGATTGCCTGTTATATATAGTAAAAATAAAAGCTAAAGCTTTAAAAAAAAATGCTAAAAACTTAAAATATAAAATAAACTGAAGGCTTGATGTCAGTTAACAGAGCTTAAATATTATTAATACCAAAATCTGTTACTCAGTTTCATTACTATCATCAGCAGGAACTCTCTCTTTATATATATATATATATATATATATATATATATATATATAGGGTTGGACAAAATAATTGAAACAGTTGCAAAATCCACTCCTATATTTCAAAGACCTATTATATTAAGAACTTTAACTAAAACTTTGTAATTGCAGGTTATTTGTAAATACGTTTATTTACTTTGTCTTATTTATTTTTAGAATTTAGTAAAATTTAAGCTAAATGTGTGACCTCTCCGAGTTTAAAAAAGAGCAAATTGTTGGATCTCACATGGCAGGAGCCTCGATCACTAAGGTTGCTGAACTGTTTGGTTTTTCAAAAGCTACCATACCAAGAACACTGATGCAATTCGAGAAACAGGGCAAAACCTCTAGGAACTGTAGCAATTTGGGCCAGACTTGCAAACTTACTGACAGGGACTGACGTGCATTGAAACGCAATGTGGCAAAAAATCATTGGACAAATGCAGCCAGAGTGACTGTTGAGTTGAATAACCATCTGAATAGTTCAGATTCTACTAAAACTGTTCACCGTGAGCTCCGTAAGGCTGCATATCATGGAAGAGCCACTGTGAGGAAACCTCTTCTCTCCACTTGCAACATTCAAAACAGGTTGAACTGGTGCAGAGATCACAATGCCTGGTCTGCAGACCAATGGAAGCAAGTCATATTCTCAAACAAGTCCATTCTTTCTTTTTTTCCCAACTTCAGGGTGAGTTTGTGTGGAGGCAGCCCAATGAAACTTACAACCCTGACTGCCAACAGTGAAGCATGGAGGTGGATCAGTGATAGTTTGGGCCGCCATATCATGGAAATGTCTCAGTCCAGTAGTTGCACTGCATGGTAGAATCAACTGCAAAGATTACCTGAACATTTTGGGAGATCATGTTCATCCAATGGCCAAGACTTCATTCCTTGATGGTGACTGCATCTTCCAAGACGATAATGCTCAAATAAATGCCGCTCGAGTGGTTAAGAATTGGTATGAAGAGCATAAAAGTGAGCTAGAACACATGGAGTGGCCTCCCCATTATCAATATTGAACATTTGTGGTACATTTTGGAGCAACAAGTTAGGAGCCGCTATCCTCCACCATCATGTCGTAAAGAGCTGGAGAACGTTTTAATGGAAGAATGACCGACTGAAAATTCCTCTGGGTGATGTCAGGAAGCTGTATGATTCCATTCCTAGATGTATTAAAGCTGTCTGTGAAACTAAAGGAGGACCAACTCCATATTAAATAAATTTTCTTTGAATTTAAGTGTTCCAATTATTTTGTCCAACCCCTGTGTGTGTGTATATATATATATATATATATATATATATATATATATATATATAATTTTGGTGCCCAAACTGAAAACTCACAATTGTCAGTTTTCAATTTGTCTCTGTTGATTGCCATATGTATGAAATCCAATTTGAAACAAATGGTGTGGAAGGAATTTACATTTATTATTATTATTAGTGTGTTTGTGTATATACTTACGTATTGTGTAGCCTTTTGAAAACCTAATTTTGAAGCTAATTGGACATGTTGTATTTGAAATAAACCCTATTCAAACAGTGTGTATTAAGTCTATTGAACTGAGCATTTGAGAAATCTTAGTAAAGAAAATGTGTTCACTGGCATAGATTAAATTCATGTCCCCCTGTCCTTGTAGGGGTCAATCCCTGTCTGGGGAAAACAATTTCTTTACTAGTTAAAAATCTAATATTTATTTTCACTTTCTTTAATGAGTTATGAAATTTATTTCTTATAAAATGAAATGAAGGAAACTCAAGTATTTTTGCATACATTTGTAGTCTCTTATAAGATATAGGTAGTGTTAAGGACATTGACTTTTCTTTCCCTCATTGGAGAAAAACTAGAATAAACCTTGCTGTCTGTTTGTGCTTTTTGGGTAGGTCATGTGCAACACTGCAAAAGTATGGAAGGGGTGAGAGACAAATTTATTTAACTTAATCAAATTTGTGGAAAATATTGGTTACAAAAATAACCAAGAGCTACATGGTGGTTGAGACCTGGTATAAATTGATTAAAAAAATTTTAAATCAAGATTCAACTTATAAGTGTTAAGCTGGACTTATTGACGTGTGTGTGTGTTGTATAAAATATTTGTAGTTATTTTTTTTTTTTATTTCACTTGGTGTATAATGCAATAGCTTTTTTTGGGGGTGGGGCGTGGAGATTGTGTGTTGGGTGTTATTAGCAAGGATAGTGTTCATTTCCATAATTCTTTTTTTTAAAATGCAAGTATGAATCTGGTTACATTAGATGTACCTAGCAGAAATTGGAATGCTGGATTAAGCAGTATGTCCTGTTTTGGATCAGGAATGGCCAATCACATCAAGCTGAATTCTGATTTAGCAATTAGCCAACATCTCATTGATAATCCAGTTTGTGCCAACACTCTTTTATGTTTCTAAGTATTACCAAGGTCATTTTACAACTTCAGGATTTTGAAATTTCAATTTCTAGACAACAACCATCTCTTTGCAAGCAAAAAATATTCTCTATTCCTTTAAGTTTTCTGGTATAACTTAAGTTGGTCTCTTTTTTTTGAGGTGACAGATAAAGATTACATTTAAAATATTTTACTTTGTTATTTATTGATAATTCTGATTTATTTAATATTTTAGACTCAAATTTTTATAAAGATTGATTGAAAAACTGGTTGCTTAAGAGGCTTTTCAATACATTTTAACATGACTCTGCTTTTTCATGCTATACTTAATGTTTTAATAACATGAGTATGATTATTGAGATGAAGCAACATTCTTATGATATCATTATGTAAACTTATGCTAAATGACCTGATTATTATCTAGCACTTAGCATTAATAATATTACTTTTCTTTTCGTTGCATTCTTTTTCAAGGCCTTCAATTGTAGTAACCTTATTGTTAATTTCACTTAAAGGTGTTTTCTGTTGCCACAGCAGGATATGGCATTACCTCTATGAAATTGAAATTCATTGTCAGGATGATAATAATAATAATAATAATAAAGTGGTTTGCAGTTAGTGGAATTAGGTGGCCAGATGTAAAGGATGATGTTGCAGAAATTGTCTGACAGCCATGATTGGGTTCTCCTGCTTCTGTGGGATGGTGCAGAGTCCTATTGCCAGACACAGGATTTTCCAATAGCCACCCTCTTTACCCAGGGAAGCACTGTCTCCTCAAAACATTTGATGTAGGCTTCTGTGTTGAGACCCTCACCAACAAATTTTTTTTTTTATTTTTTATTTTTTTATCAGAATGATCAGAGTGAGTTTTCCTAGCTGCCATACCTTTGTAATCACCATTAGTCATCCAACTCTTTCTGAATCATCTGCACTGTCCTCAGATTGATACCCAAACACTTTATTGTATTGGATCTTCTGGCACAAATGCCAAGCAGTGCAGTATTCCATTTCCAAATTTATGGTGGAGTGTCATGGTGCTCTTTTTCTCACAGGTGGTGCCCAACTGACCCTACTATACTATGCAGTTGAAAAAATCAAAAGCAAACAATGCACAATTAGAAATTAGCCAATGCTTTGCCAACCATTTCAATAAATAATATAATAGTGTAAATAAACTATCTAATAAATAGTGTTTATTATTTTTGTTGTAAATTCTCAAGAACAAAAAAAATGTATAAATTCACTTTCATATGTTTAGGTTTTATTCTAATCATCACTTTTTAAAACAATAAAAATTGCCAAAAAGACATGATAGTTAAAAAATAAGTTGTCATAAAAAAAAAAAAAATCCTTTTTACACTACAGGCACATTTGCAAAGTATATTTACATACTGAAATGATAGTATATATATTACTGACTTTTATCTTGGTGTGTTATTGTTTGCTTACAAAAATAGATACTTTCATTGATTCATTACTTTTTGTTTTTTCTTTCATTATTAGAACTTATTCTTGTTTTGTCTGTCTGTATCTCCATCTCTTGTCCCTCTTCCAAGTTTTTGGCTTGCCACCCAAATATATAGAGTTCTTTTATCTGTTTTCTTGTCAGTGTTAATTTGCTTTGGTAAAATGCCATTGCCACTTCACATAATGAAGACAGTCCTCAGTCTTATCTTGAAACATGCACACACATTTTCAATGTTTTGTTGTAACAGGCTATAAATATCTACTATTTATATTTTGCTGTATATTATGTATCCTAGTATATAAAATGCACTCAATGGTTATCATGAAACCTCTTGAAGAAATAAAATTAAGGAGACTTTTTATAGTCTGGGTCATATTCCTTGGAGATATTTGTAGGTAACAACTTGATCTTTCTTGTGTAAGATACAGATTAACTCTGCTGATTAAAAAGTCATATGCTATTAATTTAATTTTTTTAAACTCTTCCAATTTCATCTTGTGGTATAATAGAATGATAAAAAGTCTGAATATTTTCCTTTTTTACTCTCAAGGGTACTTTTGAGTTTGTATACATAGTATACATAGTATTTGTAAGGTCAAATCAGTCATTTGTATTTTGTTCTTTTCCATTTAATCATGTCTACTTGTATACTCTCTATGGGTTATTTTTATTTATTTTTAGTTTTTGTATTAAATGTATTTTGCTTTACATATCTCTTAATAATATAGGAGATATTTATTATACATATTGTTGATAATGTAAGCAAAATATCTATCTTGAACTTATATTAGAAATTGGTTATTTTCAGGAAAGCAGTGGCCAGATATCTGATGATAACAAGCCAGGAAGTGCAGACACTAATAATCCAGATATAGCTTTTGGGAAAACTGCCATGTGAGTCATTTATTTATATTTACTTATTTTTTTAACCTGATGGAAACTAGTTGTTAACTTATAGTCCTGGTTAGTGCATAAAAATAATTTGTTTGTAATATATTGGATAAACCATGCTAATTTATCACTTAAGGATCCTTTCTTGTAGATTTCAGTGGTCTGTCATGAAATTAGTAATCTTTTAATGAAGTTTGACAGAAATTATTAATTAAAAGGATATTTTCTTTATGAAATATTAAAATAAGCTTAAACTATTTAATAAAATAGTACCAATGGTAAGTTTTTCTGAAGAAAACTCATGAAAGCCTATTTAATCTAAACCTAAAATAGTTTATTTACATTTGGATCAATATCCTTATTACATTTGGATCAATATCCTTATCTTATTACAATGTTTTGGCCATTGTACTCTCTGAACTTCCTTAGGTGTTTATTGATTCAGGTAAACCATGGGACTAGTGAATTGAATTTGGTGGTGTAGTAATTCTGAGTTCAATCCCTGGGTTGGTTAAGTACATACTTGGTGAAAACAAGGCAAGCAATAATTGAACAGTATTAAAGAGACCAAAAAAATATACCCTGTAAATTAAATAAAGGGTTGTTTGAAATTTCCAAAAGTTTACCTGCATCAAGAAACATCTGAAGAAGGAAGGAAGGAAAAACAGCAAAGACATTGTAATAATAACAACAAAGATGAGGACATTAGTCTGAGTGTAAATAATTACTCAGAAGTTCAGGTAGAACTATTATAATAACTTCTATTACTTTTTTTTAATTAACAAAAGGGAATAAAATAAAAAGAATCGGAATATTTTTGTTAGAAGAATATGAATTTTGTCTTAATAATTTGTCTTTATATATGAATAATGCTACATATTGTTTTTCATGATGAATTGCAAATATTTTTTATTTGCCAGCAGTGTGTTTGTAAAATACAAACACCACTTGTCTATTGCTAATAGTAACTTTCTATAAAAAAAAAAATAAAATGCCCTTCTCTTTAGGAATCTACATCTCCATAGAATTTTGTATTCACCTGAAGGTATATATATATATATATATATATATATATATATATATATATATATTAGTAGACTCACCGGTCAGATTCAACTTATTAGGGTCAAACAGATCAGTTCCTAGGAACTGACAGCCAGACACCAGCACACATGATCTGATTAGAATGGTGAAGGCTTTGTGCAAAACCATCCACACTCTTTGAAGGGCTGAATATAGAGACCTGGTGCACTGTGTGCCACAAGGTCCCTAAATGACTCTTCAGTTTTTGAATTCAGAGTTGTCCTTCTCCTAGACCAGCTGCCATCCAAGGCTATTGAACCCAGTCTATCCTGCTATTTACCCATAGCTACAGAAAGAAGAGGATTCATACCTTTCCAAAGGGCATTAGCATGTAAGTGAATGTAATGGATTTGACTGGAATTCGAACTCAGCTCTCCAATTCCTCAATCTGAGCTGCTATCTACTACTCCACCATGCACATACATACATACATATATATATATATATATATATATATATATATATATATATATACACACACACACACACACACATGTCTCCACACTCAGTTGTATGGATATGAGTTTGTAACCCTGGGTTTCATGCTTTTGTGATCGGAGAAAATGGTCCTTTTTTTTTTTTTTTTTTTTTTTTTTAAATCGATCTATTTATGCTTATTTCTGTTTGATTATTTGTTTGAGTGAGGAATTAGAAGATAATTGTTTGCTTGGGATGACACTCTCACACACAGTGTCACATACATACAGGTGTATGCATTTTAGTTTGTACAAACACACCCATATAAATAATTTGAGGTTCAATGCAGATACACATCCATGCATTTGAGCATATATATATATATATATATATATATATATATATATATACACAATTGTCATTTTATTTCAGTGTCAAGACCATAATATTACATATGTAACAATGTTCTCTTAACAAGGAATGAGTGGGGGTGGTCTTGTTTTTCAGATTAATATATTAGCTCTATCACAGATATTGAGCACTTTCCACTAAGTAATGCACACAAACATCCAAATATAGGATTGGTGTATACAGAATAAATTCCAATAACCAAAAAATACAATTCTTAAAAGAGTGCTCAATACAGAGTAGAGCAAATATATTTTATTTGAAAATTATAACATAAGAATATATATATATAATTTTGAAGTGAAGGAATAGCATTTTATTTAAATCTGGAACATAAGCTTCCTTATTTAATTTTGAAGGATTTTAAAAATGTTTAATTTTATAAAATTCTTTTGTATGTAAATTTTGAACAGATACTAGAATCTGATCTTTATATACTTGAAAATGTTAAAATGTTTCAGTTGACTTTAATCTTGCAATGCAATCAAATATCCATTGTACATACTGGTATTGAAGGAAATATTGACATCAGGAGAAAATGGTGACTTGCCTCATTGGCTAAAGTGCTCTTCTAGTTGGTCATAAAGCAAGTGCTGTTGAGTTGAATAAACTACTTTAAAGAACATGGAAATTAATTTCACTCTTGGCAAATTGTAAAATACATCAAATTGAGCAGACGACTTTAAAAACCTGATTTTTCTGCCACAGTCATAGTAAATTTCCCTTGGTGGCTTAAGTGAACTTCATGGGTTTTTGAGTTTAACTATTTTTTTCAGAAATTCTGTTTATCCTTTTACACATATTTCATCTTACATATTTTGTTCTGATATTTCATATTGGTCATTTTATTGCCTGCTGGTATGTATGTAATTAAATGACAATGAACAGAAACCTGTTACATGTTTCATTCTTTGAAAGGATTTCTTCAGACTGTATTCATGGAATCCTGTTGGAGGAGGAAGAGATGTAATATAACAAATTTTGGTTATAATTGTACATTGAGAAAAACATCCTTGGTATGGCAATAAACTACATTTGGCAACAGGATCAGGAAGTTTTGAGGAATGTGGAACCATCTCTTACTTGCTGTTGTTCCCAGGTCCACCTTGACCCAGGGTGGTAGCAACTGTTAGGGTCACAGCTATGGGCAAATAGTGAACACCCAAACTGGGTTCAAAATATAAAAATACATTAGAAAAAATTACCAGTAATACATTTTCATAGTAATAAAAAAATAAAATAATTACCAGCAAAAAAAAAAATTACCAAAGCGCACAAGAAAATAAAATTTCAGCATTAAATGACTCATGAGTTAACCAATCTAAAAATTGAGAAAATGCTGAAGATACAGGGATCACTTAACTGGACATTTAAATTTTTGGCATCTGACTGCATTCAGTTTTCTCCTGTACTTGTTTTTGCTTTATCACTATTGTTTTTAAATATACAGCATTGTAAAAACAGTAGTTTTCTTAGGAAAGGTGATATATTGTATGAACCTGGATGAAAATTTACTATGAAGACTCTGAAATTACACATTTTATGCACTTTCATCTTAATAAATTACTTTCCCTTTTAATTAAAGCTTCCTTCTTTAAGTTGAAATTATGGCCATCCTTATTATGATGAATGACAAATGCAATGTTTTGTAAAAGATCTTTCTATGTTAATATATTCCTTCATTTAAATTCCTATGTATTTCATCTATGTATTTTTTGTGACATTTTCTTACAGTCTATTCTGTAAATTCAAAGGATAAAATATGTAACATAGGATTTTTTTCCATTTTGCTATTTAGTTATCCACTATTAGTCTGATATATAGTTTGTATATCATATTTTCCTCACAGAAAAGGTTAAGCATAAAAAAGACAACAGAATAATATCAGCTTAAGATCCTGTAAAGTTTAACAATCTTTAACAGTTTTCTTTTGAAAGTCCTAAACCTGTTGAACCTGTAGCTTACTGAATATAATGCCTCTTGCATTTTATTTTAGTTCATAAGATAGCTTGAAACATGATATTCAATGCAGTAGATTCATACTTGTATGACTAGAGTAAATCTAGTTGCACCCTTTGTTTACATATCCCTTTGAATAATTTAAAGTTTTTGTCTTTATGAGGAAAGATCTGAGATATTGGTCAAGTTATATCAGATGTGAATATTACCATAGATATCTTCATGTAAAATGATTATTTGTTGGTAGGAATGTTATAGCCAAAAGAATAATACATCCTAATATAAATGGTGTGATGGATGAATGTTGTCTAAATTATGCAAAAATGAAAATAACACTGACATCTTATTTTAAAAGCTATATTTACCAAAATTACACAAAAATATCTTAAAATAATGAGTAAATTTATTCAATATTCACTCTCCTCAGATAGACACCAAAACACTCTGAAATGTTCATATTGGAACTTTTGGCATGAATGCCAAGCAGTACAGCATGTTGTTTCTAAATTTCTGGTAAAGTGAATTGTGTTAAGGTGCTCCTTTCTTACAGTTGGTGCCCAACTGACCCTACTATACTATGCAGTTGACAAAATCAAAAACGGTGTGCATGTGCAAAATTAAAAAATACAAAATGTTGACAATTTGCTCATTGCACTCTGTATAAGTAGAATAAGCAGTGCTGGATTATAACTTTTGGGGCCCCTAGGCTAATGAAATTATAGAGACTCCCTTAGACAGAGCCATCCTCTAGCTCACTCTTACATGTCTTGAACATTTTTTACTCAGGATATATTTTAGTGACATTTACATAGTTTGACGTAGACTTATGCAAATTCTTTAAATAAACTAGAATAACTATCTTTTGTTTGTCAATAAAAACATTATTTAAGAAATAGCACTATTTTACTATCTATTGCGATCCAAATTATATTTCAAAACAACTGTAGTTAAAAAAAAAAAAAAAAAAAATTAAGATTTTTTTTAACTAGCATTATAACAATAAAACAATCAAAATAAATATGGGTTTGTCATATTGATATCATTTTAGTTTATGAAACTATTTAGAAGTTATAACATCTAGAAAATTAAAATTACTGCTTTATAAACATTTCTAAGATTTAAATATTCTGAACTAAAATCAAACATGTTATCTATTGGAAACCAAATGACACAAACTAAAATATTCTTTTCCTTGCTTTGCTTACTGCAAAAGTCAAATAAATGAGTTTGGTATCATTTTAGTTTATGAAACTATTTAGAAGTTATAACATTTAGAAAATTAAAATCACTGTTTTATAGAAGCTTGAATACTAGACTAAAAGATAATCTGGTTCTGAGAATAAGGCTATTCATGCAAGAGTGTCATACTAAAAAGAATTATAAATTTTAATGTTATAGTGTCATTTCATATTTGAAATAGAAGCACCATTTTTATTTATTAAACAGTGTATTGCATGTATCACACTGCACATTTGAAAAAATCTTAGTATAGTAAAGAAAATGTGGTTGAAGTAAAATTTCAAGGGGTTACAGGGTGAAAGAGAATAAGACTTTAGAAGGAAGCAGAAACCTAGTCCTAAACAGGAAACAAGGTATACACCTCTATTCTCATTCAATAGATTGGGAAAAAGTATGAAACAGGTGATATAGCTAATCTTAAAAAAAATGTAAAAGAAAAAAAATTATCAAGTAAATCAAAATAAACTAAATTCTAAACAATTTATAGACTTTGTATAAATACAAAGTATTTAAATATTAAAAAAAAAATAATTGCAAGTTTGTAAAATGTATGGCATACAGTTAATGGAGAAGGGAATTCATATCCTGGTAAATGCAGTATTTTGTCTATAGATTGACAACATTCTTTTGATTTTATTTGTCTTTGAAGTCTCTCTCTCTCTCTCTCTCTCTATATATATATATATATATATATATATATATATATATATATATATATATATATATATATATATATATTTTAAAATTTTTTATTTTAAATAATTACTAGTTACTCTGCACTCTACAACTACAAACCACAAAAGGAAGATGAGGTTGAACTCCGCAAGGGAGACTACTATACTGTTACAGAAAAATGCCAAGATGGGTGGTACAAAGGACACTGTTTAAAAACGGGTGTCAATGGTGTGTTTCCAGGAAATTATGTACAGATTTCAAGGTAACAATTTATTTTATTTGCCAGTTTTATATTTCTTATTTTTGTCTAATAATAAAGTTTTAATTTTTTTAATTTTAATTATACAATGTATATAGCCTAATGATAAAAAAAATGTATTTATCATACTTCATACAAATTATTTTTCAGAATATACTTATTTTTTCTTTGTCTTTCTATAAATTGAACATTATACAGTGAAAATTTCAGATGGAAATTCAGCCTGTAATTTTATTGATCCATCCTTAGATCCTGATTAGATGTCCTTATTTTGAAAATGGTTATACTTTTAATATTTAATTTTAATATTTTTAATATTTTCATTTAATTTTTAGTACTTGTTTAAATTGAAAATTAAAAATATTTTCATATTTATAATTATTTTAATTCTTTTTTTATATATTACACAATTATTTTGAATGGAAGATGATTAATAAATAATATTCTTTGCCTATTCTTGTTACTTTTTATCTTATTAATTGCATGCAGAAAGAAAACCGGTTTTGTTACTTTGGGTCAAGTATACTTCAGCTGTTTTATGAGGTGTTAGAAAATTTATGTGGGTTTTCATCAATTATGTCTTAACTGAAATTATTTTGAATAACAAGAGGCTAAAACCTGTTTTAATTATTCAAAGGTATTTTTTAAATTTTCTCGGACTTCACTATTTTCATGCAATTAAAACCATAAATTAAAACTAAATATTTAAATTATTGCAATGCATTTTAAATTTAAAAAAAAAAACTGAAGCCATGGTGGTACTTAATAATTGGTATAATTTTTTTAAAGAGTAATTTACTGTTACCATGAAGACTATTATTTAAAAATTTAGCAACAAAACAACTTTTACATTCTGTAACAAAGATTTTTTATTTTTAATAGGCAATCAAGTGCCTTTGGCTCAGTCAACCCAAATATGCCAAATGTAAGAGCAAAAGAAATTCCTGCTTCATCATCAATAGCATCAGCAGATATGAACAATCAACCAGGTTCAGTATTTTATGGCAGCCCCCCACCCCCATGCAGTGGTAATATGGACACACCACCACCTGCTCCCCCACCAGCTACAGTATCCCAACCTCATATACGTACTGATGGGTCATCAGCATCTCATGGGACTAGCAGTAGCAGCACTAATTTGCATCGTCAGAGTGCATCTGGTACAACAGCAAGGTCTCGTACTCTGCACCATGCATCATCTGTATCTTACACCACCTCATCTATACTGGCAGCTGCATATCATAGTAACAATAACAACAGCAGTGGTGGTAGCGGAAATACTGGGGTTGGAAGTGGATCAGCTCTATCTCCGTCGGTATCATCATCTATATTAGCAGCAGCATATAGCAACAATAACAACAATAGCAGTGGTGGCAGCAACAGTGGGGTTGTTGGTGGATCAACCTTGTCTCCCTCAGTTTCATCATCATCACAGCTGTCATCATCATCTACAATAACACATACTGTAGTGGATACACCTAGTAGTAAATCCCATCCTGGTTCTGGAGGGAATACATCCTCATCATCTTTGAAAAATGCAGCTAGTATGGGAAGTTGTGGAGGAGCAGGTGGGCATCATGCCCAGAACCTTAACCCCTCATCATCATCGTCATCATCATCGTCATCATCATCTCATAGGAATGTGGCTGAGTTTGCTGCCCTGCAGCATTCCATGTCTGCTAGTACTAATATTACCCCTCCAAATGTTGTTGCAGGTATTTCAAGTACGGCAACATCACATTCTACTTCAAAGGAAAAAGTAAGTAACAAATTTACAATCTCTTTCCAACAGTTTTCACAAGTTCTGATATTAAGCATTTTTTTCTATTCTACTTAATTTTTGAACAAGTATCTTCATTGTTGTTGTTTTTTGCTGCATTCTTGGGCTCACTATTATGAATTTTACTCCATCTTATGACCTAGTGCTCTGAATTTTATTCCATCTTATTACTTGGTGCTCTGAATTTTACTCCATCTTATTACTTGGTGCTCTCAATGGATACATTCTTTACTATGGTAAATATATAAGATAATTTAGGCGATGAACCAGTGCCATTAGAAAAAATTTATTTCATTTATTTAACAATATGAAACGTGATTTACATTAAGCATCTAAACATTTGGTGTATGCAGTAGCATAGTTAGGGGCAGTGCACTCCAGGTAGCAATTTTATTGAGGTAGTACTTTCAGGTCTGCTATATAAGCCTGTATAGAAAAATAAAGTTATTTTGTAGAAAGTTGTAGTTTTCATTTTAGAAATAAAGATGGTCATAATCTCTTTTATTATTATTATTATTATTATTATTATTATTATTATTATATACATATTTTTAGCTTTTTCATTTTTAACTTTTTTGTTGATTTTTACTTTTTGTTTAACTGTTAATTTTAAAGTTTAATTATGTTTACTGGGTAGCATATTTGAGTATATGAAAGTAATATTATAATACACAAACTAGTTTGTATTTCATTATAATCTATATATAAAATTCTGTGACATCCATTAGTACATTTCTTTGTCACTCTCTAAAATAGACATATGTTGAGTGATCAAAACCAATTTATAGGGAGAAGTGCAAACAGCCAAGGTGTTACAAAATACAGTTAGTTTTATTAGAGTGTGTAGCATAGTACAATAATTTTTCCCCCTATTTTTTTTTTTTTTATTTAACTTGCAAAATACTTCCACTATTTTAAAAAAACATTTTAATGATTAATATAAATATTTATTTAATAAAATGCAATATTGTTTCTGGCATATTTTTTCTTCAATTTTTTCAATATAAAAGAATCCAGTTTGCAAGAACTATAAACAAATCACAAGGCCAAATGCTTCAAAAAGTTGGAATTTAGCTCCAGAAAGAAATATTTATGCATGGCCATTTGTATTTTGCATGCTCAAGAGTAAGAAATCTTAAGAATTTATTCTTTGCTGTTAAAAAGGAGAAAAAGAAATTCTTAAATATTGTTTATCGTGAAGTTCTATAAAATTAAATTAAAGGAATTATTAAATGATAAAGGTTTTTGGCAAAGTATTTTTCCAAGCAAATCAGCTATTCAAACTTCAATTGGTTTGCAAAATTAAACGAAATGTAGAGTTTGCAAATATCGACAAAAAATGTAGGCAATAACTTCAGCCATACTAAATACTGTGAGGAGTTGTAAAAAAATTCTAGTATTATGTCTCATTTTAGGGAAAGTCTCTGCATTTTACAGTTGAAATGGCTAAATGAAGCCACAAGTTCTATTCTAATAGTTTCTTTTATTACACTTCTTGCTTGTGGAGCTCTTCTGGCTTTTTGCTTTCCATTAAACATTGATCTTCAAAAATTTAACGGCAGTGTCAATTGTTATCTTCTGTCTTAATTCCTGTTCTTTTGTTGTTCTCTCTGTGTTTTTTATTTTAAAAAAAATTTTCCTCATATTCTCTAACACTCATTTATCCTTTGTGTCTTAGTGGTTTTATTGTGTTGCTTGGGGTGAAATGATTAATAAAAGTTATAAAGAGGTTGTCATTGAGCAATATGTTGTGTTTTTTGTTGGTGGTAAGTGGGTGACAAACTCAAGGGCTACCCCCGGTGTCATACACTCTCTAGCTACACCACTGGATGTACAATACATAAACCTTTTAAGAGAATAAATAGATAAAAATAAAAACTTAGTTGGAATTAGTTAAAATCTAATTTCTTGAATGATACTATTAAATTAAGTCAAGCAGTCACATGGTTAATGCAAGTTGTTTTGTTGTACTAATGTAGATTTTGTACTTGGAGAAATAAAATCTTTTTTCTAATTATGCTGGTTCCTCAGTGAAACAAGTAGAAGTTATTTTAAAAACTGTCTTGTTTATTTATTATACTGTTGAATAAGTTATTTTTATCACTTCCATTCTAAATCAATAGACTTTAAACATCCTCTATCAAGTACTCCAAGAAATAGGTTTCAAAATAAACCTTTCTGTAGTGAAAGAGATAATCAGGTACCCTGGAAAAAAGTTTGTGTTTTGTGTGCGATCTGCCGAAGAAAAATTACCAAAAAGTAGTCAGCAAAAATCTTATAGCGAAGAAAATGGCGACTTACCACGTCAAACCAAGCGACAGCGCGTCGCGTGTATTCTATGACGGAAAAAGTGACGAAAAAGAAACAAGTCCATCGCAGGAGTCACTATAACAGTATTTTGATATGCAAATTATGGAGCATCCTATCCCAGCTGTCAACGAATGAAAAAGATAGGTTCTGCCGATAAAAGCAGTTGGTCTTCTCGATTCGGGGGCGGAAAATTCAGGCATTTTTGGCTTTGGTGTTTGTTAGAGAGTGAGTTATTTTTCTGACTGGTTACACGCATTGTGATTCGAGATAGTACCGGCGAATCGCGTTTTCAGCATTTCTTTCTGCCCCTGATATTCGAGTCTGTACTTACAGTGATTTTTCTTTGTGTTGTGGAAGTAATCTGCGACAAATACTTCCTTTGCTTTCAGGACGCTTACACTTACACTTTCCAAAGCAGAAACTGTGATATAGAATTGGAATGAAAGCAGTGATGGTACATACACTGAAAAATTTGGGATGTAGAATTAGTAAATACTAAACACTTCAAATAGATTGATGAATGGATCAGAAATGTTCAGAAATATCTAAGCTGTCAGTTGTCATACATGGCACTGTTCAGAAATATCTAAGCTGTCAGTTGTCATACATGGCACTGTTCAGAAATATCTAAGCTGTCAGTTGTCATACATGGCACTGTTCAGAAATATCTAAGCTGTCAGTTGTCATACATGGCACTGTTCAGAAATATCTAAGCTGTCAGTTGTCATACATGGCACTGTTCAGAAATATCTAAGCTGTCAGTTGTCATACATGGCACTGTTCAGTTCTAAGCTGTCAGTTGTCATACATGGCACTGTTCAAAATATCTAAGCTGTCAGTTGTCAGAAATATCTAAGCTGTCAGTTGTTGTGGCACTGTTCAGAAATATCTAAGCTGTCAGTTGTCATACATGGCACTGTTCAGAAATATCTAAGCTGTCAGTTGTCATACATATGGCACTGTTCAGAAATATCTAAGCTGTCAGTTGTCATACATGGCACTGTTCAGAAATATCTAAGCTGTCAGTTGTCATACATGGCACTGTTCAGAAATATTGTCTACATGGCACTGTTCAGAAATATCTAAGCTGTCAGTTGTCATACATGGCACTGTTCAGAAATATCTAAGCTGTCAGTTGTCATACATGGCACTGTTCAGAAATATCTAAGCTGTCAGTTGTCATACATGGCACTGTTCAGAAATATCTAAGCTGTCAGTTGTCATATGGCACTGTTCAGAAATATCTTGTCAGTTGTCATACATGGCACTGTTCAGAAATATCTAAGCTGTCAGTTGTATAGAATGACTTTCTATGATCAATGGCTAAAATGGATTTGAGCAAGTAAAGCCTGTAGATCTTGGTGAGGACAATCCTTTGAACATTGTGGTCTGATGCTACAGAAACACAAAGAACTATACCAAATAATAGAAACCACATCACTTGAAAAAACTTTCAACAGCAATAACTAACATGGAAATCACTTTAAGAGAAAATGACATCATCAAGATGTTGATGTTCTACCCTACTTCAAATAAGATTGAAAACTCCCCTCAATATGGGAAAGGGTATTAACTGTTTGAGAAACCTATTTTCCTGAAAAATTGTTTCAAGAGAAAGATTTTTAAATTTTAACTGATAGTGGTACTGACAGCTTGGTTAGTGAATGCTGAATGTTTCCTTATAAGGAAACAGCTAATATTACTTTTGCCATTATTACTAGTATTACTCTGGTATAATTGTTTTTTTTTTTATGACCACACTATTTACAATTTTCAGGGTGTTTCCCCCTGATGATTAAACAAAGATCTAGCCTCTGACTAGACTTGCATATATTATGACTATTTTACTTAAAGTTTATATTTTTCAATTTCAAATAGAAACTTGGAAAGTCTTCAATATATTTCAGTGGAATTTTCACTTTCCAAATTTAAAGTTCATAGTTTAGAAAAATGGATGAAAAGAGCAGCATCAGTTTAAACTGACACCAGGTTTACTCGCATTCTGTAGATATTTGCTTAATCAATTTCATCACAGGAATGCCAATGATTAAGTGGGGGTTCAAATCTGTAGTCATTCTGCTTTCTTTTCTCCTCTCAAATTCTTTACATTATTTTTGTTTTATTTTTTTTTTTTAGATGAAACATCATTTATTTTATACTAGTTTTATTCATTATTATTTTTGTAATACTTTAGTTCAGTGTTTCTCGAATGGTGTGCCCAGCCACATTAATGTGCCCTGAAAGGTAGCCAGGTATGCCCCAAGTAAACAGAAGAGTAATTTATTCTTGTATCTCAAAAAATCTTTATTTTTAAAAAGTTTGAGATGACCAATCACAAAGCTTCCATGTCTAAGTCTTTCATTTGATATTTTAAACTGGAGGCTACATTGCTTAATCTTTAAGAGTGGATAATTCTTTCCCTTTTGACATCTTTGATGGACTTAAATCAGTCATTATTGTCCTCTCTAAAAAGAAATAGATTTTTCATAAATCCCTGTGAATGAAAACTTCCATTTAAATGGAAGGTTTTAAAAATAAATGCTTATTTTAGGAGTAACTTCTTTATTTTTGTTTGCAAATGTTATGACTAATTTTTTCTTATTAAAATTTAAAGAGTGCCGTAGAGATGCTACAAGTGCACCCAGAATTAAGAGGTTGAGAAACACTGC